CCAATATCTCTTATGAACATAGATGAAAAAATCCCCAACAAAATATTAGCAAATCAATTTCAGCATTTATAAAATGAATCATATGCCATGATCAAGTGGGATTTATCCCAAGCATGTAAGAAATTAATATAATCCATCATATTAATTGGCTAAAGAAAACAAAATCGTATGATCGTATCATAGATGTTTAGAAAACATTTGACAGAACCCAGCACCCATTCATGATTAAATAAAAAAACTCTGTAACTGGAAAACGTGGAGTAGAGAGGAACTTCTTCAACTTGAGAAAGAACATCTATAAAAAAAATCTACAGTTCAGCAAAGTGGGAGAGGGATAAAAATGTTCTAAAATTAGATTTTAGTAATAGTTGCACAACTCTGTAAATATACTAAAATGCTGAATTATAGGTTTTAAATATGTGACTGTTATAGTATGTGAATTGTGTCTCAGAGTGGTGTAAACAATAATTTTTTAGAAAGAGTTAAAGGGACATAACAGCCTAAATGCAGTAAAGAACATCACTGACTTAGGTGTTGGTATTGGGATATGAATGGAAAATTAAATTAAGTGTTTTATGAATGTGAGAATAAAACTGTAGCTAATGTCATATGTAATGGTGAGAATCTAGAACTTAAGGTTTCCAGTAAGATTAGGAACAGGATAAGGATGTTCCCTTTTACCACTCCTTTTCAACATCATACTGGAAGTTCTAGCTAATGCAACAAGATAAGAAAATGAAATGTATAGTGATTGGGAAAGAAGAGATAAAACTAATTTTGTTTGTAAGATGATATGATTGTCTGTGTAGAAGATCCAAAAGAATTGACAAACTGGAACCAATAAGCACAAGGTAGCAGGATACAAAGTTAATACGCAAAAGTAAGTTATGTTTCTATATACCAGCAGTGAACAAGTGGAGTTGTAAAATTAACAACATAATACCATTACATTAATATCTCCCAAAATAAATACTTAGGTATAAATCTAATAAAATATGTATAAAATATGTACAAGGAAAACTTCAAAACTGATGAAAGAAATCAAACAAGAACTAAACAGATGTTCATGGATAGGAACACTGTTAACAAGATGTCACTTCTTCGCAGTTTTATTTTTAAACTCAATATAATCGTAGTCAAAATTGCAGTTTGTTGTATATATCAACAAATGGATTCTAATAAGTTTATATGGAGGGGCAAAAGACCAAGAATAGGCAACTTAAAATTGAAAAAACTAAAGAACAAAGTTGGAGATTCAACATTGCCTGACTTCAAGAGTTACTGTACAACTACAGTCATCAAGCAGTGTGGTATTGGTGAAAGCATAGACAAATATTTAAATAGATCAGTGGAACAGAATAGATAGCCGAGGAATAGACTCACATCAATACAGTCATGTGTCACTTAATGACAGGGATACATTCCGAGATGAGAAATGCATTATTGGATGATTTTGTCATTGTTCAAATATCGTAGAGTATATTTACACAAACCTAGATGTATAGCCTGCTCTGCACCTAGGCTTTATGGTATAGTGTGTTGTTCTTAAAGACTGTTCAACATGTTACTGTAGTGAATACTATAAGCAGTTTTAATGTAACTGTAATAGTTTGTGTATCTAAACATATCTAAACTTAGAAAAGGAACATAAAAATATAGTAAAAGATGATGGTATACTTTATATAATAGAGTACTTACCATGGAGCTTGTCGGCTGGAAGTTGCATAGGGTGAGTCAGTGAGGGAGTGATGAGTGAATGTGAAGGCCTAGGACATTAGTGTACACTGCTATAGACTTTATATACACTGTACACTTAGACTACACTAAATGTGTTTAAAAAGTAATTGCACTATAATGTTACAATGGCTACAACAGCTATAAAGTCACTAGACAATAGGAATTTTTCAGCTCCATTATGATCTTATGGGACCACTATCACATATACGGTCCATCCTGAAACATTGTTGTGAAATGCATGATCGCATAGTCAACTGATGGATCATAAAAAAACAAAGACAATGCAATGGAGAAAAGATGGTCTTCAACAAATAGTACTGGAACAACTGAATATCTGTGTGCAAAAAAATGAATCTCGGCAGACCTTATAATTAAAATTTAAAGTTTCTTCTCTGCGAAAAGAAAGTTTTATTCTTATCAAGAGAATAAAAAGACAAACCACAGACTAGAAGATATATGCAAAAGACATGTATGATAAAGGACTTTTGTCCAAAGTACACAACAAACTCTTAAAACGTAACAGTAAGAGAACCAACAAACCAGTTAGAAAATGGGCCAAGTACCCTGAGAGATACCTTACCAAAGAAGATATACAGATGACAAAGAAGCATATGAAAAGATGCACCACATCATCTGTCATCATGGAAATGCAAATTAAAATGAGATACCACTACATACGTATTTGAATGGTGAAAATCCAAAATACTGACTATCTCCAGTGCTGGTGAGGGTGTGGAGCAGTAGGAACTCTCATTCATTGCTGGTTAAAATGTGTAATGGTACAGCCTTGTTGAAAGGCAGTTTGGCAGGTTCTTGACAAAACTAAACATACTTACCGTATGATCTAGCAACCAAAGAATTAAAAATTTTTGTCCATACAAAAATCTTTATATGGAAATTTATAGCATCCTTTTAAATAATTGCCAGGGCCAGGTGCAATGGCTCACACCTGTAATCCCAGCCAGCACTTTGGGAGACCAAGGCGGGTGGATCACCAGAGATCAGGAGTTTGAGACCAGCCTGACCAACATGGAGAAACCCTGTCTGTACTAAAAATACAAAATTAGCTGGGGATGGTGGCGCATGCCTGTAGTCCCAGCTACTCGGGAGTCTGAGGCAGAAGAATCACCTGAATCCGGGAAGCGGAGGTTGCAGTGAGCGGAGGTCACACCATTGCACTCCAGCCTGGGCGACAAAAGTGAAACTCTGTCTCAAAAAAGAAAGAAAGAAAAATAATTGCCAAAACTTAGAAGCAACCAAAATGTCTTTCGTCATGTGAGCTGATAAACTGTGGTATATCCAAAGCAATGGAATATCAATCAGTGCCGAAAAGAAATTAGCTATCAGCCATGAAAAGACAGGGAGGAACCTTAAATGTGTATTTACTAAGTGAAAGAGAAACCAATCTGAAAGACTACATATTGTATGATTCCAACTTTATGACATTCTGGAAAAGGCAAAATTATGGAGGTAATAAAAAGATGAGTTTTGGTATAGGGTAAGTGAGGGGAGTGATGCATATGCGGAACACAGAGGGTTTTTAGGACAATGAAACTATTCTGTATGATGTGATAGTGGATGCATGCCATTATGTTTGTCCAAACCCATAAAGTTTTCAGCACTAAGAGTGAACCCTAAAGTTAACTGCAAAGGATGTGTCATAGGTTTGTCAGTTGTTACAAATGTACCACTCTGGTGGGGGATTTTGAATATGGAGAAGGCTATGCATTCGTGGAGTCAGGGGGTATATGCGAAATCTCTGTACTTTACACTTAGTTTTTTATGTGGACCTAAAACAGTGGTGTTAAATTAGAAAAGATAAAGGAACCAAATTCATATTCTAAAATCTTTTTTGTTGTTGTTGATACTTAAATAGTACTTTCCTGATAGAAGGGTGACTAAAGTGCTTTTTAATATTGTGTCAAGAAGTATTGTTGACACTACTGAGAATTTTAATTTTGTCAGTAAAAGAAAGTTAATAGCCATAATTGGACTGTGTCATTAAAATCATTTGAGATAAATAGGGTAGTGAAAATAACTGCTTGATAGTCATGTTGTAAAGACTGATTTAATACATGCCAAGTGCTTAAAACAGGGCTTTACACATAGTAAAGTGCTTGGTAGTTGTTAATTATTAGTTGAGAATTGTTAAGAGACTTTTTTCTCATTCTGCACAATAGACCCTTGATGATCAGTTGATTATTTTATCCATCCATGGGGAGGAGAGCTATTGGCCCAGGGCAGTCCTTACTCAGGCACTCCAGAAAGTTCTCTGAAATTCCTCTCTAGGAACTTTTAGCTTTCCTGCTCAGAACATTAGAATGGCTAGTATAGTGAAGTCAAGTGGTAAGGGTTTAAAGTGGGTTCTGCTTTAGCCCTGTGTGATTCAGGGCAAATTGCTCCACCTTTTACTTTCTTTCTTTGCCCGTCATATCTCAGGAAATGCCCTTTCTCATCCTGTTTGATTCTGAGCATTTACACTGGACTTATTTTACTTCAACACAAATGTCATATGCCTGGCCATTTGAACACACTGTTCACTTTGGACAAAAATTTTCTTTCTCACCTCTCCCTCTTGCTTTATTTGGCTAGATCATACACATTCTTGCATTTAATTCCAATTCCCCTCCTTTAGGATAACTTCCTTTTTTTTTTTTTTTTTTTTTTGAGACGGAGTCTTGCTCTGTCACCCAGCCTGGAGTGCAGTGGCACCATCTTGGCTCACTGCAACCTCCATCTCCCAGATTAAAGCTCTTCTACTGCTTCAGCCTCCCCAGTATCTGGGATTACAGGTGTGCACCACCATGCCCGGCTAATATTTGTATTTTTAGTAGAGATGGGATTTCACCATGTTGGCCAGGCTGATCTTGAATTCCTGACTTTAAGTGATCCGCCCACCTCAGTCTCCCAGAGTGCTGGGATTACAGGTGCGACCACCGTACCCAGCCCGGGGTAACTTTTCTAACCAATTCCCAGGAAACTGTTTTGTATCACTATTATGCTTTCCCTTCACACCCTCATGATTTTTCAAGTTTTTTGTCCCCTTTGCCCTATAATTTGAGTGCCCAGAAGGGTTAATGAGATCTGACCTGTTTATTGACACATTCCCAATTCTTGGCACATAGAGGAGGCTCACAATAAATGTTCTGTATATTGATGAAACAAAAATACTAGAGTTAATCTTACTTAAAATTTGGTTAGCATTATTTCAGCATCTGCTCTTTTTTTTAACAGAATTTTTATTTTTATTTTTTCCTGCAAAGCTGCTGAAACTCAGAAGCTGATTGTGTTACACTGTAAGATGCCTTTGGATAATTCTACAGTCTTCTTAGATGAATCTTTAGAACTTGGCGAGTATCACTAGATATCTTCAATCATCATTTTGAGCTCAAAGGTATGGTATCTTTGTGGCTTTTTTTTTCCCCCCATAATCATGGTGGGGGGGATTTGGAGTGTCCTGATGGACGCATAGGACAAGGAATTATAAAAATACTTGGGGAATGATCTGCTACTTTCCTTGGCAGCTTTTATTTATCTTTAGAATTTTCATTCTTTCGAGGAGGAAGAAAGTTATTCATCGGGAAACATAATTGAAATCCAGAAGTAAAGTATTTTATTTTTAGCAGTTCCTGAAATTTCTCAAAATTAGTGCTCAAAGTAAGAATTATAACTTATCTTTTCCTGAGTTAAAGGAACATGATTTGCAAATGACTGAAAGTTGAATAAGAATTATTTCCTGCCAGGTGTTAGATATAGAGATAAAGTGTCAGTGGACTGAGGTAAAAGAAGGGCCAGACTGCAGCTCCTATATATAAGCATGTTTCATCGGGGTCTGCACACCACCAGATTCATCCAGCCTGCTGCCTGCTTTGGTATGAGCTAAGAGTGGTGTTTGCATTTGTAAATGGTTGGAAAAAATCTCAAGAAGACTAATTTGTAACATGTGAAAGTTATATGAAATTTAAATTTTAGCTGCATTACCGTGGCTGTGCCTTGGCCTCTGCAGCCTCCTGGTGGAGCAAGTAGAGGCCCCAAGCCCCGTGGATCCGCAGGAGCGGAGCCGGCCACACGTGGTGCTGCGCGGGCAGAACCTGGTGTTGATGGGGACCATTTTCAGCATCCTGCTGGTGACTGTCATCCTTATGGCATTTTGTGTCTACAAGCCCATTTGGCATCGGTGACAGCCAGTTCTTCAATGAGTTATTTGGGAATAGGATAAGTTGTGTTGCACATGGGCCAGTGGAGCAGTTGGAATCAAAACTTTCCTACCCGGAAATGACCTTTGGTCTGGACAGTTGATAAACGCTAAATGATTTCGAAGAGAACATCTACTAGCAATTATTTTTCCTAACACTGTAGTGCAAATAATTGGCCCCTCAGTTTGCTTCTCAGTGTTTCTTTTTCTGTCTGACTGTACTTGTTAAAAGTAAGGCCTGAAAGCTCCAAAGGTCAGTGTAAAGATGGAGTGTTCATTCATTAGAAAGAAAACATGGTAACCTTATGAGTGCCTGTGAGAACCACACTGGAAAGAACTAACCATTAATACTTGAAAATGTTGATAAGAGGGAGACTTACAATATAGACTTTCTCTATTTAAGAACCATTTGGTCACAACGGGTTAAGAATCACGTATGTTTTTTCTCACCTGAGTTGGCCTAGAATGCACTGGTTGCAAGGTGGTGTCAGCTGCGAGGATCTTGGGCCCTCATTTCTCACCTGCATCCAGCCCTGTACTCAGGTCCTCACGCTGAAGGCAGAGTCACATCAGGTAGACCTGTTACTACATGCACATTTGGCCTGGAAAGCTCTGAGGTTGGACTGGAAATGTTACCAGGTTGGTCCCTCACAAAAAGGACTCTATCCTGCTCAGACACATTCATCTCCCTTGCCCTGCCTTTGAGTCTTTCTAGCCCACGCTCTAAAACTTGAGGTAACTTTCCAGATTTGGAATCTAAATGGCTCAGCAGGTGATCTGTTCATCCCTGGGTGGGGAGGGCCCAGCCAACAGAAATGCACGTCCACTGTGCGGGCCAGTGTGTGTTTACACAAATTTCATCTCAGCTTTGAAAATGCTGCTATTAGTTTGCACTGTTGGTGAACTGGAATTTTTCCTCCTATTGAAATGATACTTTCATACTTACAGAGTGGTCATCAATATTTATTTTAAGGTGCTAGATTTAATTTTGTTATTACATTGAAATGCTTATCTTGTGTTCATTCAAACACAGCACTGATTTTAACAACCTGCATTTAATGTGAAATAAATAAGATGTAACTGTCTAAGGATTTTGTTTGTAATCTTGTAACATTGAGCCATTAAAATGTTCACTGTTCTGTGCTTTTAAGCAAAATGTCAATTAAAATTAAAGTTAAATCCTATATACTGTTAAAAAAAATTAAAATTTTAGTGTTTATGAGTAAAGCTTTATTTGAACAATAGCCACTCTTATTTTTTATGTTTTATATATGACTGCTTTTAGCTTGTAGCAACAGTTAAGTACAGTCATGTATTACATGGTCAGTGATGGACCAAATATGCTACAGTGGTCCCATGAAATTATAATGGAGCTGAAAAATCCCCATTGCCTGGTGACATCATGGCCATCATATTATCATGAAGGCCTTTTACAGGGCTGTGAAAGGGCCCTGTGCCTTTTACAGAATAAGTCTAGCTGATCTTGCTCTACACGGTTGGAGAAGTATTTATAGATTTGAGTGCTATGGTTTGAGACATGAACTGGGGGGATATTAGACGAAGGTAGGAGTTCATGCCAATTCTCAGTGACCTATCTGTACTTTTTTCTTTTGTGGAAAGTGTAAGCCATACTCTCATTATATCACCTGTGTTGTTTTAAAATAGTAAATTAGGGGAAATGGATTTTTCTATTATTTTTATTCTGAAATGAATATAAATGGGAATATGTATAAAGAAAATTAGTATGCTACTCTGTTTGTTTTTTTTTTTTGAGATGGAGTTTCGCTCTTGTTACCCAGGCTGGAGGGCAATGGTGCCATCTCAGCTCACCGCAACCTCCGCCTCCTGGGTTCAGGCAATTCTCCTGCCTCAGCCTCCTGAGTAGCTGGGGTTACAGGCACACAGCACCATGCCTAGCTAATTTTTTGTATTTTTAGTAGAGACGGGGTTTCACCATGTTGACCAGGATGGTCTCGATCTCTTGACCTCGTGATCCACCTGCCTTGGCCTCCCAAAGTGCTGGGATTACAGGCTTGAGCCACCGCGTCCAGCGACTACTCTGTTTTTAATCAAGTTTTAATGTTACCATAATACCTTATGTACCTAATATCTTAAGTACTTAAGAGACTAGTTGATGACTGACTCAATGAAACAAAAGTAGTTCATTGAGTCAATGGATAGGCCTAAAGGGTATAGTCGAGGAACTCTTTTGTAGTCAGACACAGGCAGGTTAAGTACTATATTAGGACATAGAAGACCATAATTTTCGTGTTTACCTTCTTTGTCCCTTGAGAACACTTATGTGACTCGGGGCACATTTACCTTTCTGAATCTAATTGCTTCATTTCCAAATTAGGGTAAACTAATACCTTTCCTGTCTGAAAGCAAGAGTCTTGGTGATTTGCTAAATTACAAGTTTCCTAAGAGTAAGTACTGTGCCTTTTTAGCTCATACCTGGATTCCCCAACCCCACAGTTAGCATAGGCCTGGCACATAGTTGGCACAGAGTTAGTATCCAGTGAAAGAACAAAGTATGTGCTGGTTCTAATATGTATTATATTTACGCATGATCAAAAGTCATTGCACTTTCTTTAAAGGTTTGCCTATAGAGACTGGGTGTTTTTGTTAGGAGAGAATTTTGATGAAAATAGTTATTTTCTGTAGATCCTTTTTAAAAAATTATTTATTTATTTATTTTAATTTTTGAGACAGAGTCTTGCTCTGTCACCCAGGCTGGAATGCAATGGTGTGATCTTGGCTTACTGCAACCTCCACCTCCTGGGTTCAAATGATTCTCGAACCTCAACCACCTGAGCAGTTGGGACTGCAGGTGTGTGCCACCATGCCCAGCTAATTTTTGTATTTTTAGTAGAGATGGGGTTTTGCCATGTTGGATGGGCTGGTCCCGAACTTTTCACCTCATGTGTTCCCACTGCTTCGGCCTCCCAGAGTGTTGGGATCATAGGCATGTGCCCCCATGCCCGGCTCCCCACCTTTTTTTTGAGACAGGGTCTTGTTCTGCCACCCATGCCAGAGTGCAGTGGTGCAATCTCAGCTCGCTGCACCTCCCAGGCTCAAGCGATCCTCCCACCTTAGCCTCCTGACTAGCTGGGACTGTAGGTGCACACTACCATGCCCAGCTAATTTTGTTTATTTTTTGTAGAGATAAGGTCTTACTATGTTGCTTAGGCTGGTCTCGAACTCCCAGACTTAAGTTGTCCTTCTGCCTCAGCCTCCCAAAGTGCTAAGATTCACAAGCATGAGTCACAGTGCTGGCCTAGATCCATTTTCTACAGATAGCAATCAAATTATTGGTCAGATTTATTTGTATAAATTGATTATATATTGCTATTTAACAGAAGGAATATAAACCTCTAATCTAAGACTTAACTAATCTCAAAGAAATCTAGAAACCTCCTCATTATAAAGCTTTAAAATGCATGTACTTTAGGCCAGTTGTGGCTTATACCTGTAATCCCAGCACTTTGGGAGACCAAGGTGGGTGGATCCTGTGGTCAGGAGTTCAAGACCAGCCTCGCCAACATGGCGAAACTCTATCTCTACTAAAAATACAAAATATTAGCCAGATGTGTTGGCAGGAGCTTATAATTCCACCCACTTGGGAGGCTGAGGCAGGAGAATTGCTTGAACCCAGAAGGCAGAGGTTGCAGTGAGCCGAGATCGTACTAGCCTGGGCAACAGTGAGATATGTATGTATTTTTTATTTAAGTCTCCTGAACTTTTCACAGCTCGTCCACTGAACCTCTTTTTTTTTTTTTTAATGGAATTTCTCTATATAGCTTTTTTTAAAGAATTCAGCTTTTAAAATCTTATCTTGCAGGATATCGTGTAAAGATAGAATCGTTTAAAAGGTGTTTAGCAGAAGCCAGTGCATTGGTGTGGACCTGTAGTCCCAGCTATCCAGGAGGCTGAGGCAGGAGGATCATTTGAGCTAGGAGTTCAAGTCCAGCCTGGGCAACATAATGAGGCCCTGTCTGAAAAACAGAACAAACCAAAACAAAAGGTATTTACTGAAAGAAAAGTGTTTCAAATTAAAGAAGTCTAGGTCTAGATAGACATGACAGCTAAATGCAGTACCTGACCCTGGATTGGATTCTGTACTGAAGGAGGAAAAAAGTCTTGGAGGGCATTTTTGCCCAAATTAAAAAAAAGAGAGAAAATAGGTATTACATTAAGAT